ACCACAACTTTTATGTGCCAATAAAAGTCTTACAGCCTACATATACAATTGACGTGAACGAAACACGTATATTTCCTTATGTACTGTATATTATATATAAAGAATATGCTTAGCTTATATGTTAATTAACAATTTGAAAAAAAATCAAAATAATTGCTTCATAAACAAATTTAAATATTTTACTTTTTTAATGTAAAATATGTTAAATTAAATTAAAAAATATCATTAATTATAATCTGTTATATTTGTATAACATTTATGTATATTTACTAAGAAAAAATAAAGAATAGAAAATAAATTGGTTTTCAAAGAATTTTTCGGGCTAGACACAGGTATACATACAGATTATTTTACACACTGATACACACATACTACGGTGAATAGGTGGATGTGAAATCAACAAATAACGAGTGGATGAATGAAAAAACGATCAATGCTTAGGAATATGTACTCATATTTGATCACCTACAGAGAAAAAGCAAGAGAACAAAAAAGTGGGAGGCGTCAACATTTTCAAAATAACAAAAATGAACTGCAGAAGTGACTGTATAAATAAAAAACTCTCTGCTGATTTTGTTAACACTACTATATAAAATAATTTCTCTTTAAATAAACGTCATAATTCTAAAGTTGTAAAATACATGCTTTTCTTCTATTTGCTGTGCTTATAACATAAACATATAAAGTACAATCGTCAGTCGAGTAAAACTTAAAACCAATTTTTTTTAAATAATTGATGCACAGACAAGTATACTCGTAGACCACATCTCAACCTACTCAAATTATGCAGTTTAACAAGAATGCCAACAAAACACATGAATTGTCAACGATTCTTCAAAAGGGCTCGTCATGAAGGCTTACCATAAATATTGGTGCCTATGATTATTAGCAATGCGTTGCAAAATTAGAAGTTTGGAAAAGCTATCGATGATAGTCATTTGAGAAGTTCAACCTATTGCACGACATAAAAAACGATTATGAAAATGCGTGGGCATTTTGTTCCTTTATGACTCTACCTTTTGTTTCTGAATAGTTTGTATTTTGATTTACATGTGTATATCCGCAATAAGTATACAGTTATTCCATATCATATTCCTCGTTTGGCACCAATGTTTCAGTAAGACATATTATATAAATCTGTCATCCAGAAAAAAAATTCCCTAGCCAGGGGTTTGCAAATTATCAATTGTTTGGTTAATAACTACTGAATGTGTTAAATTGTGAAACTTATTACAAAAATTGTTACAATTTAAATATCATTTAATTTGTTTAGTTATTGATGGATGTTCCAAACAAAACTTGTCATAATTAGTACAGTGAAAATTAACAAATTATTTGCAAAAGATCATAGCATTTAATGCAGAAGGTGTGACACAAACTATCCAATTTTATTGCTGCATCTACACTATTACCAACTTTTTTAACATATTTATGGTGTTTTAACAGAATATTAAAACAAGTCACAGGAAGTTATCTCGATGGTTTGAAATACAAAAATCTGTCACGTTATAGCCGATGAGTCAAGTTAAATTAATAGCTTTGTGCCGATAAGTCAATGAAAATTACCTCGAAAAGATCCAGTTCTCTAAAATATTTAAATAGTTTTGTGTTTTACTCTTAATGACAGGGTCTAAACAAAATATTAAAATACAAATTTAATTAAAATCTGAATCACAAATGTATTTTGTTTACGTTCAATTTCGGCATTATAAAGACAATGACCCAGTATTAAATTAAATGCTACTCTGCATATTTTATTTGCGAAAAAAATGCACAAACTTGTACTAACATGTCTAACTATTTTATTAAACAAACTACTAAGTATGCATTAGTTTTACGTAAATACAATATACATGTTCCAGTGAAATATAATAATTTACTATAAAATATTATATTTACATAATGTAATGAAATATAATACAAAATATCATATAAATGGTTATTTTGAATGATATTTAGAATGTACAATTGATATGAAACACACCACAAAACAAAATAAGATGGACCTTATTTACTTTTACTCGATAAATAATTTTATGGCATTATTGAAGACGAATGTATTACAGGTGCATCCTGGAGTTCCACTTTCAACGATTGTAAGTGATTCCGCAAAAAAGAGACCAGCGGCGTTAGACCTAATATTCCTGATAGTGTGGCAGCGATTTCGCTTCTAAAGATTATGTTTGCTAACAAGAAAACGCTTAATATAACTGGATATTGAGCACCACTGAAAGTGACATACATATTTCGCTCAAAATAAGTCATCAATCCAACTTGGTGATTTGATAAATAATTGTGTGTAAATATGCTTTCGGCTATTCTATAAATGATACTTGAAGCCACATTAAAGAAATGGCCACCTAAAAAACTCTCCCTGTACATATGTATATACAGTATGTATTTATAATGCACATATGAATACATAACAAGGTTTTTGGGAATATCTTTAGTTACTTACATTAGGTCTTAATTAAAAATAATGATATTTACTTTTGAAAAATATGAAACAAAAAAGGTTGCTGTGTTGATATGTTTGATATACATACGTATGTATGTGTATTTTATATCGATTTCAAAGTTGTTTAAATTTTATAAACAAAATTATAAATGCACACAAGTAACATCACACCTTCAACACATCCAAACAAACAATTTATTTGTGTACGTCAATTACCATTTGCTTATTAAATACTTGTAACCTATAGTTACAAATATAAAGTATATTTATATGTGTTTATGAGTACAAATTCAATTTCCGCCTTTTTTTATATGGGTGCTATGCAAAATATTCAACCTATTAAGTACATTTGCAGACTTGATGTATCTGAATTCCCCAAAAAGTCTATGGATAAAGTCTCAGAACTTTACCTTAAATATTATGAAACTACTTTTCAGGGCAGATGAGCAATAATGTACTTGTGACGTAATGCTAATCAATAATATACATATATGGTTTATGTGGTATATATGGTGTTCGAAGTTTCTATTTGATTAACAATCTTAATGTGTCCTTTATTTAGCATAAGAGAAAAAAAAAAATTAAAAACATTTAAAATAATTTCTTTGCTGGTCTTACAGTTTTTTGACATTTGTAAACATAGAATTCCGGTTTACTGTGATTTGATTTCGATTTGTATGTCGTTTGCTTATTTTTGTACATATGAGCGCTACGTTTGAATATAGTACTCTTAAGTAGAATTAACTGTGAATTTGAGTACTTCGACGCACAACTCTTTTACTCATTTTTTACACTTGAGCTTAATTTATTGCAATAGTATCTCTTTCATCATCGTGCGCTTGCTGAGAGAAGACATGCAGTTGATATTTCTTTTTAAAGTAGTAAAGTTTAAAGCACTACCAGTCACGATTGTACTGTGCCTTATATACAATATTATATATGCAAGAATATGTATGTTAGCTCATTTTTTATTAAGTTCATGAGATTAAAAGATTTTCTCGTTGAAAGTGAAAAGAATAATCTTTATGAATTTATTACAAATTGTAACATTATTTGGATTCAAATCTGAAGCCTCTATGGCCATATATACGACTACCCTTTACATATACAATGACTTTAAAATATTATATGACCTGCTCGTATTGTGCAAAGGTTGTTTTGGAAATAATTCAATTCTAAAATCTGGCGTGATCAATGTAAATATTTTCACTTTTGACTCTTTAAGAAAATATATTTATTTATCTATTCTTTCAAATTTAAATTGTGCTCTATTTATGAATACGATATGATAATACTTATTTTAATACTGTTATTAATACTATTGATTTACCAATACAAATTTAAACTCTATGTATAATTTCCTTGGCGACATTGGTTTATTGGATAGTTATTTGACTTGAAAACAATTGAATGAATTAATAACATATATAATGTCGCCATGACGATTAATTTTGTTATTAAACTATACATAAACTTGACTACTGCTAAAATCTTGAAAAAAAAAATAAGTTTGATCGATAGTAAATTAGTGCCACTGTTAACGTTTTGTTACATAAATCTCCTTATTTTTAATATAATATGATTTTACAAATAACAAATTTTGTATTAAAACATGCATATATATATTTAATTACATATATTATTTCTATTTAATTATTTATACAATTTATTATACAATTATATATATTGGATTAATAACAATACAACAACTATTACGCACACTAAATATTAGAGGTCATTAAGTTTTATATTCGAAAACCATAATAATATAATAAATATGCAGGTGTATTCACACACTTTAGGTGAAAACCAAAATATTCTGCTTAAAAAAAAACATGCACATATTACTGGCAAAAAAGAAGGGGAGATCGAGAGCGCATTGCGCATCGGCGTATCCTTTACCTTTTATCTTGAATGATTCTACATGTCTATGCATTTGGAAGCCACAACTTTCCTACATTTCCCTACCGCTTTCAGTTTCTTTTTGTAACTTGTATCGAAATGTATATTTAACAGACATCCTATTATTAATTAGTCTATGAAATTCAAAATTAAAAAGTAAGAAAACTAATTTTATATCACTAAGTATAATAGTTACATATTATTATATACTATTTGTTAGTTATACTTATTTATGAAATACATATATATCATTTTATTTAAAAAACATGTTTGTTTAGTTAAAAAAAGTTAACATGAAACTAGGCAACAGAATACACAAAAAGCAATACATTTCTAATTAATTAAAATTAATGATAATTTAAATTACTTTGAGCTAAGAGTTAATTTGAGCTAGTTAGGAAAAACCGAATCAATGTAATCGAATATTTTTCGCTTAATAAGCTAACATACATATTAAATTATATTTAAAATTATTTGATTAACAATTGGAATGCATTATTACTATTATATAATTAGGTACAAAAAACAAACAAATATTTGTGATTCTTCAGAGTAATTCATACCAACTCCATTCAAGACCAGATATATATGATTACATATACCACACATATACTTGGATTGACAATTTAAGTAAACTTACCTTGCGCAATTCTAACAGCTGGCATTTTAATTCTCATTTTTTAGAAGAAACTGTTTGAAATAAAACCCACTGAAAGTTCCTAATCTCTAAATATAAGTTTAAATACTTCGTTTTGATGTTTTCGTACTGACTTTTTGGAAACTAACGACACATTTTCTTTTAAAACATGATTTAAATCAGCTGCTTATTACAGTCTCAATTTTGCAATGAAAACGTTTTTCAGGATAATATCCATTCATTATTTCGACACTTACGGTTGAATTACAATTGAATCACAAAATATAAAGAACATATTTTTATATAAAGATAATTATTTACAAACGTCATGTAAAGGCAATAATTAGACTATCAACCGCATCGAGTTTCGATATCACTTTAATTTTTGTCGTATTAAATTAGAGGACGGTGGCTTACAATTGATTGTGGAAGCATTTTTATCCAAGTGGAATAAGGGATATAAATGTGGCATGTGCATCAATTTGGTGTTAAAACGACCCTAATAAATATATTTCGCTACTGCCGTTTTATTTCACAATTTCAATTTAAAGTTGTAAATATTCTTGGTTTTAAATTTTAAACTTTAAATTTCAGTCACTCAAAACTGTAAAGCTGTCATTCTGTTATATGAATAATATATTCATAAATTTTTAATTTAAATGATTTCAGAACATTAATGTTAATTTTGCAAATTTGTTTATATTAAAATATTGTACTTTTTTCATAAAAAAAAAACTTAAAAACACTATTATAAGATAACCGCGTATTACCGCGCACAATTTAGAAAAATTACAGGAACACGTCCTCACGCGACAATTGTCGGTGTGCATCTAATAAACTTACATTGGTTTATTTACTTGAATCAGTTTTGCTTCGTTTGTCTCGTTTTTACTTGTTTTTACTTACTCACGATATGTTAAGACATATAATAATAATAATAAATAAAGCTGCGCCAGAACGGTACTTTATCTCATGCATTGTATTGTTATAGGAGCGCAATTGTGTAGGCTGGCTTGATATGCATTCTCAAAAAGGTTTTTCCTTTCAATAGAATACCTTGTTAAAACTGTATTTTTTTGTAAATATGTGGTTGCAATAGTCAGAGTACAACATGGCACAAGTTGTAAATGTCAAATAAAGTATAACAGTGAATAAGTAGCTGTACATCACTCCCGCACTTGTGCGCAATTGCTGAGAGTATAGCTTCTCTCAAATATTTCCTCTCTTATTTCTGTTAAGTTCTGTCTCATCTCTTAATAAAATAAACTGACATATTTAGCG